TAAGGTGGACCCCGAAATGTCATCAAAATTGCCGCTGATGGAAAACACCAGCAGCCAAAGCGTTGTGGCTAATGGCTCTAAATAACAATGATTAAGTCGCCAAAGGATACCGGGCTTGGATCCAACCCAAAAACCAACCCATCCCATTCGATTCGATCCCATCCCATCGGATCCCAGAAACTGGGGAGTGTGAGTCAGCTCCGCCGGCGGCTGCGTCGCGCGAAACTCGAGATCGTATCGGGAACGCTCCACAACGCATCGCATCGCCTCACATCGCCGAGATCCTCGAAAGAGGCGCTGGCCAAGCTAAAACCTGTTGACATTGATATTGCCATTGATATTGGTTTGGTATGGGTAATGGTATTGATATTGGTATCGCTATTCCTTCTCCGCTCCTTCGAGCATTCGTCTGTATATAGCCCCTGTTTTTAGCAACGGCTGCAGGTGCGTAGTCTGATCGGGGGCAGCTACCGATCAGATAGGCATTTTATAAAGGTGGGATCCGTCGAAGAGTCGTTGGTATGCTTTTCTGAATGATTCGCTCCTTAATAAGCTGATTATTTCAAAAGGGGTTAAGTCGGAAAGGTAAGTATTGCAGGGATTAATAATCTTGATAGTTTGCTTATATAATCACTAAGATAAGTAGTGGTACCGAAGTTTAAGTCATCATGATCCCTAAAAAGCATACTATTATTGAAAACATTTAAAGAATCCTATAATAAAAAGATTTGTCATGTTTTTCATAAGTACAAGTAATATAGAGTTTATGACTAAGATCATAATTATTCTATCCAAAATTCCCGCTTATCCCAAAAATTACTAATCCAGGATCCAACTACGCCTCTGGCTCCTCCGTTTCTTGATTTGAGGCATGGCACACGTCTAGCAAAAGTCAGGGGCGATGCCTCAGAGCCGCAAGTGGACTTCACCTGACAGTGGCCGAGGTTCTCACGTTGCGAGGGTGTACGTAACCCGATGACTTGTGCATTCTTTTACGGCTAATTTAACCGATTAGCAAGTTGTCCCCCGAGCATTGAATTTTGAGTTGGAGTTTTGCGGTTTGCCTGTCGCCCGCTGTCAGCCACTACATGGTTTCAGTATTGGTTTGTATCGCATCGTATGGGATCAGTTCGTTTCGGTTTGGCTTAAATTGCTTTGGCTTGGCTGGGTGCGAAGTAACCGATATATTCGACGCCCACACACGTTGTCATTTGTGAATGACAGAGAGTTGGGGTAACACATATGTATATACGCGTGATTCACGTCACAGTGGGGTTGGCTTAAATGCAAAATAGCTGACAAATGGTAAATTGCAAACGATTCCAAAATGGTCGAAGGGTGCACTGGGCATTGGAAGGAGTACGAATAGTTGGGTGGTTGGTTGCCTTGATGATGGCCATTAGCCGGCGATTTGAATGCCCCTAATCATGGGGTCTGGCTTTTTCCACTGGCCAGCGTCTGTCACGCCTTTTTGGCGCCCACAATCGGTCAAAGAAAACCGTTTAGGCAAAAAACGAAAATCACAAAAAACTATAATAGGCCAGCGAAACGGGAATAAAAAACAAAAAAACCACAGAGAGAAAAGTACATACAAATGACTGCAATTTTTCAACGCTTAAAAATCACATTAATTAGCGTTCATGTTTTGTGCACTTCAAATTGCGAGCGGCAGCTGAAAAACAACATATGAATTATAAATTATAAATTTATTCTCACTCCAATTATCAACAAAGTTAAGCATACGCCTAGTTGCACTTTCAGCAATAAATAATTGCGCCAAGAAAAAGAGGAAAAAAATTATATTTAAACACAACTTAAAATGCAAATTTCAGCATGCAAGCAGGGGCGTACTACGACTTCTTTCCCCTTCTCCTCGACGGTCATCTCATTACTGTTGAAAGCCAAAAGAAAGAAGAATTTTTAACTCGCTTAATTGCCCCTCGAGCCGGAGGGGGAAACGGATGAGGAGTTGGCCGCGGTGGCCAGTCGGCAAAAGAAATTATTTTGCATTTGTAATTGCCAAGTCAAGAAAATGATACCCCGATAAGCTATAGTCAGCTGCCGTTGCCAATGTGGTCTGATTTTCCCTGAGCCAATTCACACCATCATTTGAATTATAATAAATATGACTAATGGCATTGATGGATTTATTGTAGAATTTATTAGTTTTAGTACAACCAGTTTTTAATAGCAGAAGAAATTCCTTAAAAATACCAACCATATTTTATTTTTCCATATGTTTTTAGCCAATCGATCTTGAAAATATGTATTTAGATCAATTGACAAAATAAACTTGTGCAAAAATTAAAAATTGATTGAATGTTAAAGGGATTGAATCTTGGAAAAAATACATTAGCTTAAAATTTACAAAGAATCTATCAGCTGAAATCGTATATTAGTTTTAGAATCCTTTTAAATTTTCTTTCTTTTTAAGAAAATATATATATCCACAAAACAATGGTAGTAGGTCTTAATATAAAAAATAATCCATATTTTTTAAATTTAGTGGTTAAACACGTTTCATATATTTACAAAGATTAAGATCATGTTTTCACTATCAGCGTCTGAGTATTTAAAGAATGAATGAACAGGGTTGGTAATTCGGACAGGGAAAAGGAACCCTACAGCCTACAATTAGACGGAGCATTTTAAGACAGCTTAATGGTTTGATTATCAGGCTAACCCTGCCATTCACCCTCTCACAAGCTTCTTTATGCATATCCCATTCAAATGATAATGCCTCCACTTCGGAGTCATCGGAGCTGGCTAGGCGCTAAGCTCGATCTTATCGCAATGCAAATTTTAAAAGCATAATTCAGCTAATCATAAGAGGCCATGTCGAAATTTAACAAGCTCTCCGAGGAGAGTGGTAACCCTCGCCTCGAGTCCCCCGAATCCCCGGAAACCCTGGTAACCCTGCCCTCGGGCAGACAGCAGACGGCATGCGTGTTGGGTTATGCTAATGCCGATCTCAGATCCCCCTGCCCCCTTTCACACACCTACCCCGCTGATGAGAAATGCGAATTAAACCCAACTCGAACTGGGGCTAAAAATGCAATTCAGCGCAGAAATTAATTTAAAAAGCGTTGCAATAAGCAAGGCACAAAAAGAAATTAAATAAAATGTGTAATAATGGAGAGAGACCCCGTTGGGTCCAAAATAAAAGCCCCTTTCCCTTCCTTTCTACCTGTCTGCTGGCTGTTCCCTCCTTGGCGCAATTCATAAATCATTTGAGAAATTATGACTTTATTTTTAAACATTTTCCCCTCTTCTTTTTTCAGTTGCGCATTTTTATACGAAATTATTTGCCGCCAGTGGAGTGTTAGCAAGATAGGGTGTGCCCCAAACTTCAGGTGGGTCTCCTTGTAAACATATTATAAAATATTATTATGTTGAGTACCTATATTTTTATTACGTTATAATTGTCTCGTCACGTAGCAGTAGTTGGTGAAATGTGAGAGTTAAAATCAAGTCTCCTTATTATATATGCAAATGTAAAATGCATGTTTACACAGAATTAAAATTATACTACATTTCAGAGGAATAAAAGGTTAGTGGGTACTAAAACAACCCTGTCCTTATATTTTTGTCCCTCCCCCACTCTCGGCCAAATCAATAAAGCCATTAACTAAACTATTACCAAAACTAGCACGCAAATTTCCAATTGATCCATAAAACACTTTATTCTGTTGACCAATAATCGTAAACAAATTATATTAATTAAGGTGAAATATTGTTTGTCCAGACTGAATACAGAAAAGGTTCTAGGCCGTGTTGAGGCAAGTTCGTATACCTAACAAATTACTTGAAATTACCAAACAAATTAGTGACGAACCTTATGTACACTTTTGCATTAATGGTTCACCCTTGCAATTACATTTCATAGAAAGTTTGTCTTTCAAATTTACTTTCACCGAAGGAACTTTTAAGGAAATAACTCTTTGTGTAACTAAGCCAGTTTTTTGTAGCATGACAAGGGTGGCCTGGTTTTTTATAATGGTTAACTTTGGCCTTTACTTTGCATAGATGTTGTTAAAACTATAAGTATAAAAGTAAACACACATTTAAACAAAATATTTATGAACAGCCTTCAATATTTTATGTAATCCAAAATATTTACAAAAATCCTAACATGTTAAAGTATTTCTTTATAAATTGGAATAATAAAGTTTATCAATTTGGTATAACAATAAAGAAAACAAGGAAGAACGCTATAGTCGAGTACCTCGACTATCAGATACCGTTACTCAAAGGAAATGGAGATATGCAAGCAGCAAAGCGAAATTAAATGCGCCACCTACCGGCTAGACAGATTTAAGCGTTATGGGCGTTAGAGTGGGCGTGGCAATTTTATTTTTGGATCAATCGATAGGTATTGCCGACACCAATACATTTCAGTTAAAATTTTTTATCTAGCATCCAAATTGTGGGCGTCACAGGTTTTCGCGGTTTGTGGGCGTTTAAGTGGGCGTGGCAAACTTTTTTTTAGGTCAATCGATAGGTATTGATGAGAACAATACATTTCAGTTAAAATTTTTTATCTAGCATCAAAACTGTAGGAGTTTCAGTTTTGGGCGGTTTGTGGGCGTTAGAGTGGGCGTGGCAGTCTACTGAAACAAACTTGCGCTGCGTAAGAAGCTCAGGAATCTGTACGCCAAATCTCAATAGCCTAGCTCTCATAGTTTCCGAGATCTCAGCGTTCATCCGGACGGACAGACGGACAGACGGTCAGACGGTCAGACGGACAGACGGACAGATGGACATGGCTAGATCGACTCGTCTAGTGATCCTGATCAAGAATATATATACTTTATGGTGGAAACTTTTCCCTGTAATATTTGCGAACATGACTTACTTAAGAACGAAATTAGTACTTTAAAAATTATATAAAATTCTTTCTAAAATCCGTATGGTTAAAAAATGTTTCTGAAAACTGTTTTTAAATATTTTAGTAATCCTTTGGATATATCCAAGTCCTGATGTCTGTTCCCCCGTACTTTTCCAGTCCCCCTGCCTTTTGTCTCCGTTTTTTTCCAGGTAACACGAGCAATTTGCGCTGCATTAACCAGCAAGAACCCACTGTTTCGCAGTCGCATTTCCTTATCAAGATGCAGGGGCTCTCTGGCCCCCGTGAACCCCCAAAGACCCCAATTGTGGCTCCCCTTCGACGTGGTTAAATGTGTTTACACTCAAAGTGCATTTGTGGGTGAGTTGTGCCACTGGCAACTAGAATAATTAATAACTGGGGAGCAGGGAACACGGGTGCTGTTGATTTGCAATTGCAGTTGTTACCTTTGTTCCATTCTTCTGTGTTGTCTGCACTTTGCGAGGCGTTGAAGTTGGATTGTTTTGGTCCACTCACCTTGAGTGAGTGAGTGACTTGCACTTCCACTCAACTTCCAGCGCTTGGAACAGAATGGGAACTGGAACCACGCCATGTTGTTGCCACAATTGCCTCGCTCTCACTCACTCACACTCGCATACAAACAGCGACTTTGTGGGCGGAGCCTAGCTTTTCCCTTTGAGCCCATGTAACGTTCGACCTTTTTTTATTAACTTTTTTTGTACCCCAAAAAAAAGTGAAGCCAACAATTCGTTGTTGCTGTTTAATTACCCGACAATTAAGCGGCCGCCACAGTTCTTCATAATTCAGACACAATTAGTAAATAATTAACGTTGACAATTGTCGCACACAATTGTTAATCTTCATCATCAGCCGCGTTCGGTGCGTTTTTCGCTTTTTGCTTTCCATTTGGGCCTAAGTACACGTCACAACATTAAATAACATTTCGCTTCGGGCCCATCATTTTTACAAGTTCATCAAAACTTTAACTTCTTCAGAAATGTCACGCAAGTTTAAAATTTTTTAATGGATTTTCGATTTCTGCCTGGGAGTATCGATTTGAAACCAAAAGTATTTAAAGCTTTAATGGCATGGCTTATAGAGGTTCACAGGAAAATAAACATTCTAATAAATAATGGTGGTAAAAATCGTAATGGATCAATTAATGTTTGAAATATTAATTTCATATGTTTAAAAAAAAGAATTGAACTCAATTGATATTTGAAACATCATTTAATATGATTGAAAATATAATTCGATGGCTTTGAAATATTTATGTTTTAAATTTCTACTTGATTTCTTAAAATAGGATATTTTGACAACTCCAAAATATGCAGGATTAGTTACCAATATCTTTTTCTCTGTGAAGTAACTTTCATTTTATGTTTTTTACGTGCATAATGGGCTTTTCCAGGTCATTTCTTATCTTATCGTGCTAGGTTTTATTTCATGATGCAATCCCTAATACCATTTGACTTTGCGCGAATTTTACGACTTTTCTTCTTCTTCAGCTGTCGCTTGTTGGCTGCTCTAATTTGCATTTTGCATTATATAAACAACCAGCCCAAGAACAAATTAAGGGAAAAACAATTGCTTATACGACATTCGCGTGTTTGGCCCTCCGAAGTTTTCCACTTCCATTATTTTTCGTTGCCAAAAAGAAGCCGCCGCCGTCGCCGCTGTAGACGGTAACGATGACGATGATGCCAAGTCAGCCCGAACCCAAAACTCACACTCGAAAACGGCTCTGAGTATGTATGATGGATTACAGCAATAATTAATTGCAATTAGCCGACGCCCGAGTTGGCAAATCTTACCCAACATTTGCCTTAATTAGCCAATGGCAGTGCTCCACTTAGTAGTTGGAATCTGGGATAAATGGTTGAAATTGTAGAGGGTATTTTCCATTTTAAGGATTCATTTGCATTGAAAAGTTGTACCATAAATGGATATTTTGCTACGTCTAATTAAAACTAAACAAAAAATCCAATCTTAATCATGCAATACTTTAATTGAAAGTATGAGAGCTGAACATCAAATTCGGTAGTTAAACAATGTAATGGAGTTTGAGTACATTTTTTTCACGTAAAATAATCTTATATGATGTTTTATACACAGGTAATAATAATAATTAATAATATATGATGTTTATACACAGTAATAATAATAATTAATAGTTATTACCTGTGTATAAAACATCATATAGGAATATTAATTAAACATTATTTACACGGTATTTGGCTAGTCGTTATGTGTCGACATTCAAAATTGGCTTATTTTTTCCGGTTTTCTGGTTTAGTTGCAACTTAAGTCAGTCAAAAAATAGCTCATGAATTTGCTGCCCAGACTGAAAAGGGGGCTCAGGTGGGAATGGAGAGATGGCTCTAATGAAAACTGGTCATGAACATGTTGCCTCCAACTCATTTAAATTAGTTATGTAAATAGCATAATTATTAATTAAACGGCAGCCATTGCAACATTAATGTTTATTAATAAGTCTCTGATTAGATTTGAGCAGAGTCTGGCGCCACTAGGCGGTAATATCATGGGAGAACTTGAAAATATATGGGTTTCAGAGCAGAATTATAGAAATTAATGAGCTCAGTTTGAGTGACATGGCAGCTGACTGTATCTCCCTCTTTTCGCTTCGACAGCGGAAACCGCAAAACATTGACGACCAGATCCTATTCAAAGAACCGACCCCCATAGGACCTCAATTTGGTGTGTGGATAATTACACAGAGAATTCGACTTGAAACCAATCATAATTTTCAATTTTTATTTCGCTTCGTTTCATTTCCTTTTCCCTTTTTACCGAAATTGACCAGAACAAAGTTAATCCCCTACTTAGAAAGAGTCAGATAGCTGAGGACCCTTTTATAAAGATAGAAAATAACTCGCACTGCCCACTTTGGTGAACGCCCCAGTCCCCTTCCCCCAGACCCTCCACTTATATAACTTTGTGCCGCTTGTCTGTAATTTTCTTGTTGAGAGATTTTCTATGTGAAGGTTGTGCGGCGCTATCAAACAAATAAAAATAAAAATCAACCTTACAATGGCAATATTAATTTGCAGTTATGTGTTTATAAAGCTCTGACATTGAGTCGACTGCAAACTGCCAACTTTGCCGACTTGGCCAACTCGAGGAGAGAGCACTTAACTTTTGACAATCGCCGACAGCGAAATTGACAGCGAACAGGAGTTGCAATCGCAGGAACTTTCGAGTGGGCCGCATTTTGAGTGATACTCACGCGCTATTTTGCACACTAAAAGGTGCTAATTGAACTGAAATCGATTGATTATTCACTCGGTGTATATGTACTTTGGCTCGGATCTGTTGGGAGGTTGGGAAGTAGAAGACAGGTGGGGATATGCCGGGGATGGTCTGCCGGGAACGCCTTCGCTGACCGACTCCGCGCCATTAAATCGCGACTGTCACTTTAGACCAACTTGATGACACGCACATGGGAACCCAGCAGGCCAAGTCGCTGGCCAGACATATCGATAACTGACTGACAGGGCCGTCGGGAGAGGGGGTGGCCATAGGGGGGACTTTAGAGGCGAAAGGCAGCCCGCAGAGGCGCATAAATTGTCCGCTGCCGCCAAGTGACGTCAGGTCAGCAGTTGCAGTAGGTGCAAGGATTGCGTGCAAAAATGCACTTCTGTCTCCCATCCCTCGGAACCCCTTTCCCGCCGCCTCTGTTGTCCTTGTCCGAGCCTCTCGTCGCATCAAAATGCAAATAAAGCATTTCAAATGCCCGCAGATAGGGAGAGTGCCTGCCGGGAACCGAGGTAAACAGTGACTACAGCTTAAGGATCAAGACATTTCAAATTCTGACTCAAAACTGTTTGTATAATCTTAATGTGATCATTCTATAGGGGCTATACTATATGGTTTGGCACCCATACAAAAAATATTAAGTTAAGTTTATAATCCATCTAGTTCTTAAATATAGGTGAACTATATAAAACTGGCATAGATTATAAAAAAGTTCGATAAAGTTTTTAAAAGCGAAAAAATTATTAACAGTACTATCTAAGTTGTTCTATCATTTAAACTAGTTGCGTGTCTTTATGAAAAAAATTAGTTTCTGAAATTCTGGGTTACTTATTCCATCTCTAAATCGTAATTCAATCTTAGGGTATTTAGTATTTCGTTGCAACCAAAGAAATTCACTTTAAGGAGTTCAAGTTGACCTGAGTGGGAAAAGCTGTCTCATAACGGTTTTGGAACCTTTCTCAACTCTCCTTAAATCGTTTCTGCAAAACATCAACAAAGCAGGGAAAAGATACATCAATTTGGTATCAATTTTGTTTGTGGAAACAATTTTGCTTTTACTTTTTACAGCGAGCGATTTTAACCGAACCTTCAGGGTTATCTCTGCGCCAAATTATAGCGAGCACTGGCTTGGGGTCTTTGGAATGATCCTCTGGCCCCAAGAGCTGAAAAAAGAATTCAACTAAAGTTTACCATTAAATTCCCATTTAGGCTGTCAATCATTTGCGCTAATTTTTCTTGGCGGCTTCAATCCAAACGAAGCCCTCGTTCCTGTATTCCTGACCCTCTGCATCTTTTTCTCCTCCTGTCGATTGCTTCCAATGAAGATTAATTTAGTTTTGAAAGGCATAAGAGCTGGATTTAAGTGGAATTTTAGTATCGCTTTTGTTTCCCTTTGTTGCAGGAACTAAGCAACGGTTTCGAAGGCGATTCCTATATCGATGGTCAAACCTCAGACTCCCTCCTCTTCCCTTGAACTTCTTCACACTTGATGTGTCCTGGCGATTAGCACAATTTGCCTGGAACGCTTTACACTTGTTGCCTTAGATCCCGATCCCCCCAGAACCGTTGGACATGAGTTAAGGTCAGCTGGCGGCTATGTCGATCGTAATCTGAGCCGGCGTCGTCGTGATGAGCATGCAAATTCCCCTTCGAGCTTTTGTTTTTGGGGTAATTTGTTAACAAGCCAAGAGAAAGGGGGTCAAGCGAGGGGGAATGGTGCCCAGATCTTCGATCTAGGCCGAGATAATCTTGAGGTAAATAAATTATATCTTCAAATTTCAGCTGTAAGGGGTAAACAAGCATGGTGGTAAATACCATTAGAATTTCACCTACTATAATATTATTTAAATAATTAAATATTTTTAAATATTATAGTAGGTGGTACTTTATTGATCAGTAAAAGACTAACATAAATACTGAATGTTTCTTGCAACATTTCTGGGTACCTAACGTAGGCATAAGCTTCTAGTTTCTAAATCTCAATACGTAAGTATTTGGTCTTTTCAAAACGCCATTTTCCTGAGACCCTATAAAAGACGATGATGAAGATCCCCATAATTGCTCCCTAAACAAAAACAGAGGCTGACTGGAGCGGGGGCACGAGCTGCGGGGACCAATCAACAGTGGAAAGATCACAGGCTGGGGCAGCAGCATCGGCAGCCGTCGAAGCATCAATCAAATCAATTATTATCGACAATGGAGAGTTCGTGGAAATTGTATGCGGTTGGGGCTGAAAGCGGAATCGGAATCGGGCCGAGATGGAGATGGAGATGGGAATGGGAACGGGAATGGATGTGGATCTTTATGTGAAGTTGAAGCTGCAGTTTGACGGAGCCGCGTCTCAACCGTTGGCCGCCATTAATAAGCATCTTTGGCGGCGCATTTGTTATTTGATTGGTAAATGAGATGCCAAAGCAAAGATAATGTCCAGCTCGGTTGGTCTTAGCCACTCGGTCCCAGACGAATGTAAATGGCTCCAGTAGGTAGCCAAGATGGCCGCCGATCGAGCGGCTGCATCACGAACGGATCTGGCCAAACGCCAGACGGCTAACAATGCCAAATTACAGGGGAAACATCTGCCACATCGGCTGAAAGAGGCCCCCCAGGCTGTATTTGCGCAATCCACAGTCAGGGCTGCAAGAATCATTCGATTTCCCATCATATCTTCAAATCTCGCTAAAAACACGTTTAGAATATGTCAAATGTTTAGACTGATATATTCAGAATTGAATTTCATACTAAAATAAATCAAATCACAATATCTATTTTAATTGTCGGAACTAATCATACAATTCTGGAATAAAGGTATATACGTTTAACATATTTGACGTTAATGGTATAACGGTCTTTTTAAAAAATATTGGATTAAAGAGTCAGGTGTTTTCCACTAAAAATATTTATATTTTCAATATTGAACCCCTATCAGTTTCTTTTGTGAAATAGTCGAAATATTTATTTAAAAAACCCTAAATTAATCCTGGACTTTAAACATATCTAACATCTCAGGACTCACAGTGATACATATGGATCGCTGCGGGAGGAAAGAAAGCTTGTCGTTTTTGAGGAACTGGGCAAATGTCGCGGCAAATCCAAACAAACAATTCATCAAAAGCGGCGACAATTAAGCAATGATGTGAAATGAAATTCAAATGAAAAAATTCATAAGCGCCAGTTTCGAGAGGGGGCGGTGCCAGAAGGGTGAGGAAGTGAGGGGGGCAGGGAGGTGAGCGATTATGGAAGAAAGAAGCCGCCGACGCTTGATGAGCTTCGCCGCTGCAACTGCGGAACGATAAATTGCCCCGCTGATGTAGGCAAATGCACAGCGATCTTTTGGATCGCTCGCAACAGGCGGCGACATAAATCATTGTGATTGACAGCTGCTGACCATGATAGTAGATGTGGATTTGTATTGTGGACAGGGGGGGTGGGCACCACCACTACCAACACAACTCCTGCGGCTGCCCGCAACTAAGCTCATTTAAATTCCATTTCAATTGGCCGAAAAAAATAAGCAATAATAAAGCGAAAACATTTCACGCGCTAATTACAGGGTGCCATCGAAAGACGAGGACTGGACACAGATCAATCATATGGGCATCTCCGCTGTAATTGAAACAAATGCCCAGCTGAACACTGAAATTATTTCATCAACACTAAGACTCTACGATAATTAGCGGGAATATTGTACCGAACTCAGGATTACTTGCAAGTATATTTCCTCAAATTATAGTACCGGATTTTTAAAAAATGTACAACATAAAAACACTTTCAGCTTATATACATTTTATTTCTTTAATATTTGTTTATTTTACAAATCATACATTGTTAAAAAGGGCGATGTATATTATATATTTTGTCTGGTAGGTCTGAAATATTTATATTAATCATCTATATTCACTAGTTCCTAATATATGTTATCGGTACAACAGCTGCTGCTCTACAAAATAATCGTAAACAAGTCCAATACACCCTGGCAATCAAATTAATGGGCACAACACTTTAAAGATCAGGAGCAGCTCTAAAGTTGCGGGAGGCACTCTCCAGAGGGTAAAACACGCACCAACTCGAATGAGTAAATTGTGAATAATTTCGTGTTGTCTCATCAATATAAATAAAATATTTATTAACAATTTGTTAAGAGCTATAAATCGCACTCAGCAGCAGCTTTCGGCCGATGCGAAAGTCAAAAACAGCGAGCCGAAAAACCCGGAGGGATGGGAGTACCAGGGCTCCCCCAGAGTTTGGGTTCAGACTGAAGACTCTCTCACCAGGACTGGGGATCTGTGGGGTTCTGTGGGGCTAGTTGGGGATCTGTTGGGATAACAGGGGAGCTCTGTGGACCTGTGCCCATCTGCGGGGGACCTCCTGTGGCGAGGGCGGCGACGGCGGCAGGCTGGGCATATTAATTGTACGCTTGTTCAGCAAGCGGCGATTGCGACCAGGTCGAATCCAGTGCCACAGATCGGCCAGATCCGTACCATATAGGCACCCCCTTCTGGCTCCGCTATATCTCGGCTGTTGGTGTCTGGCCAAATTGCTGCTATTTATGTTGGTAACTACCGTATAAACTTGGCAACAACAACACGGCACACACATGCACATTCACCTGGGACTGCACATGAGACATCGGTGGAACACGGCAAACGCTGAAATCAATATGTTTGCTAATAAATTGTCCCACAATATTCATTAAATTAAAAAAGTAACGAAAAGTGTTGTACCAGCCTTTGGTTAACAGGAGCGCAGCTGTGGCCCCAGATAAGTTGGGGCAAAAATTAATGTCAAACTCGTTAAATCTATGAAATTTTTTGTAAATTGCAATAAATTTCTGGTGAGAAAAATCGTTGAAATGACTTTTATTTTCTAACTTCAAAAATATTAAATCATAGAAATCTGAACAGATTTTTGGGGACTTGAGATACGTATTATAAAAAAACAATTTCATGTGCTACAAACAGATTATTCTACAAACCTCGGGAACAACGATTTAAAATAAGTATACCTCAAAAAATTTAAGAATCTTACAATTCATAAGTAAAGCTCAATATCCACGCCTTGATATCCTGAAACGAATCCGCTCCTGTTGCCTCAGAGCGCGAAAATTTATTTTTAATTACGCAGCCCCAAACATGGCACAAACAGCGACCGCCACATTCTGATGCCAATACTCAGACCGATGCCGATTTCTATTCACGAATCCCGGCTCCAAGTCTGTAGCTTGTAGCCTGAAGCCTGAAGACCGAAGACCGAGCTCCAAAGACGCGGCTGGAGATGAGACTGGGGACTGCGACTGGGCCTGGAACAGAAGACTGGCGCTTGGAATGCACTGCTGACTCTGGTGCTGACTCCTCGGCCTGGACTGTGCAAAATTATGACATGAACATGAACGAAGTCCACATAATGATGTTATACAATACGCCATCTTAGCGTAAACAAGGCGAAAAGCCGCGCCACAGTCCCAAGCGCGACTCCACTGGGGACTGGCGCTTGTTGGCCCCGTAATCGTAATCCCATCCCATCCCATCTCAATCCCAGTTCCAATCCCAATCCCACAGATCGGAGGCATAGGACATGTGTTGAGTATTTGTTGTTTGCAGTGCCCTTAGCAATGGAAGGAGCAACTGAGCTCGGTTTGAATTCACTTTGTACACATGTACGGTCTGTTTATCAATCTTTGCCGAGATATCCATACCGAATAAAGTTAGATTCAATTATTCGAATTACGAACCATTACGGCTTCAATAAATACGTACAAGAAACAAGCAAATGACATGGAAATCATTAATAACTACACATCAAGATTGATATCAAAAAGTATATTTATTTATATTACAAAAGTAATTAAAATGTAATATTTTAATCAACAAATAAAATAGAAAATATAAACCATCCGACACTTGGACCTCCAAAATGATTGCATACTTTATGGGGACAAGCTATATTGATTCGAAAACTTAGAAAACCTCTTATATTTGGTATGATATTAGTGGGTTGATATTGGAAATAAAAAAAACCTCAAAAAACATTTATTTTTGCTAACGCGTCTTCAAATCGAAATGTTTTGAGAAAATGTATAATTTAAATGTTCTCGAAAAGCTATACCTATAGAGTATAAAATATTCGCGTCCAAGGTTGTTAGGCATAATCTTCGATTTGCGTTGTTCTTGCCCAGAAGCTGTTGTCACGGTGAAGGCGCAGCATTCCCAAGACAAATTCAGCGTCCAGTCCATTCGGATTTTGACTTTTTTGGCTTTTGCTGTGAAAATGTATTTAAAGAATGAAATTTATGGATTTTGATCACAAATATTTGTCGATGAGTTTGTGATTTATGGTCAGCATATTCGTGCTCGACTCAAAAGGTTAATGGCTGCAGCCTCATGCGAATGTTAGGAATGTAACCCAGTTTTTGCCGAGGGTTTCCGCTTTAATGATGTGGAAACCGAAAGTCCCAAGTGTAAGGCCCTCTGTTCGCGTGGGCGGCTTGGCCTCAGATACTTTTTCCGTAATACATAATGCTGGGTTCTTGACTGCCATTACGCTAAATATAGCAATTACAAGCCAATTGCGAATCACAAATGCCATTGAAAATGCATTCAACAGAAGGCAGATCGCTGGTGAGGAGGAAAGGGGTAGGGTTATGGCTCACACGCACATTTAAGCTCTATGAATATACATACGTGTGGGCCAATGAATTCGGTTCCGTTTGTGTGCGTGAGTAATTGGCAATAGCTGCAATATTCTGTCATTTGCTTCGAAATCAACGCAACAAACTAACGTTAAAAGGTTCTGTATGAAGGGGGGTACGCTAACCCCCCACCGCCACTTCCCAAGCCCCCCTGTGACCCCTTTACACTGCGACGCAATGACAATGGCAACCTTCACACAGAAAATCGTTCATTAAGAAAATTATGGAGCTGTTATATGAAAATAAAAGGGGGCAGGTCGCCGCGTATGTTATGTGATGCGAGAGCTATCGCTAAGGTAAACAGAAGAGTTAAGAGTAAGTGGGCTACTTTTCTAAGTTTTTCCCATTATTTTGTTATGGTTTGGTATGAAGCAAAAAAGGTTTTGTCTTTGGGCCCGTAAAAAGAAAAGTAAGTTGAGGGCTTTAACCGACCTAGTAAATTGCTTTTTACCGGAGATAATAGTTTTAAAAAATCGGAAGCTTTAATTTTAGTCAACCATTCAAAGAATTACACCCAAAACTTTGTAAAAAGTCCACTTCCCAATAAAATATTTTCGCTTATGGGGTTGTATCAAATCGAAATATTAAAATAATTAGAAAATAATATAATATAAACAATGTCATAATATGTTAATATTATTTCTCATAAATTTAAATGTGATTATGATGTTAAAAAAATGATTCTTCGCCAATAGTGCTATTATTGTTGTCTATTGTTCCATAAAATTAGAACCAAAACAGATCCATGTAGTTTATTTTTCTCCAATTTCTGAGGTATAATTGAACTATTAAATCACCGCAATCACGACACTTTATCTCTTATCAATTGGAGCCATTCATTCGCATATTATCCGGCCGAAAAATCAAATGCCTCACATGGGAGACCCACTGACTGCTGCAGTCGCAGTCTCACTCAAATTGCCAGTCAAATCGCCGGCGAGTGGAAGTGAGCCACTGGAATCTGGAATATGGGTGGAGACACCTCTGCTCTCGCTGCCTCTCGCTCTGCTCCATATGGCCATCTCGCTCTCACGGAGGCAAGGAATCTCAGCCACAGCAGGCGGTGGCAGCAACAACAATAGCCACAAAGGCAAGGCGTCGCCCAGAGCAACAAAAACAACAAGGGCAATGGGAAAAAATCCACCACGAAAATTTATGAAACACAAAAGTGGAGGAAAAAATCAGGAAAAAAAAACCAAAGAGCAAACTTAAATGGCGACGACGACGACGAAGTGGCGGCAGTGATTTTGAGCAACCGAAGGGGGGTAAGGGATTTAGGGGCAAGGGGGGTTGGGGGAAGGACAAGAGTGGCAATGGCTGCGGGCACACACAGGATAATAAATAATTGCCGACATCGGCAGGAGACTTCGCTCAGAACGCTGGCAACATAATTTCTGCGGCCCAAACCTGTCAATGTATCTTCGCATCCGAGAGATGCACATGTTAAGCCCCTCGAGGTGCTTCCGCCCCAAACACTGAGAGAAAATATTGCTCTCAGTCTGACCTCTTTTGATTTAAACATTATAGAAAAAATAAATTCAACGGCTAAAAGTACAAGACTTACCTATTATACTAAGCATATTATCGTAACATAATAAAAAAATCTCTCAGTACATGGAATTTAAAAGATCTTAAGTTACCTGTTAGGCTTGAACTCGGGCACCCTACTTCAAAGCTGGTCATTTCATATGTGACTTCTAATATCTTTAATTATTTTTTTCGTCTTATAAGAAATATACAAAATACAGTTCAGACCCATTTTATGATAATTTTAAAAACATTTCTTCCAAAAAAAATTTAAGATACATTAAAAAAAAATTCTTTTTTGGTTCTCAAGTTTTTGTAGTGCACCTGATCCTTTCCACCATGTGCTGGAAACATGGAAAGCGGAAAGTTAATCCCGGATAAGCAACGCCCTTTGACACTGACAAGAGGACCAGGGATAAAGACGGCAGGATCTGCAAACAGCTGGCCAAGTGGCCAATTTCAATTCCAATACCAATACCTCAAGGGGCGGGGTGGGAAATGCGGTTGCAAGGTCACAATGCGCTTCTAGGCTAGACCACTGAAATCGCACCACTCCATTCCAGTTGCGTGATCTGGGTAATTATCCTACCCAGAGCGATCGATCGATTGATCGGCCGATTGATCTGCACAGGCAGCAGATCGTGACATTTGATGGACATTTGCCGCCGCTGCCGTTTTCTGTTTGCTGTTTTCAGTTGCATTTTCCTTTTGGCCAGAGTGGATTCTGGTCGGTTGGGGTCTACTAATCAAATAGCCTGGGAGATCCCGGCTATTGGACCTCCGCTCCACTGCAATCTGCTCTCTTACAGCCTTCAATCAACTCATTAGAATCTCAATTCCACAAACTGACATCAAAGCAAATTGCCATTGACGTTGCAATTGTGAAATCAGAAGCGTTTCAATGTTTAAATGAGACAATTTGTAGCCGCTTAAATGCTCACAATGGGTGACTATAGAAAATAGTACAAAAACATTGATGATTATAATAGTCTAGTGCTCCAACTACGAGGATGTTGTAACCCAATATTTATCCCACACATAATCTATATAAAAAATTATTTTATTAAAATTGCCAGGTCTATGTAAAACACCTTTTATGTATTTTAACATGTAATACTTAAAAAAAAAATTAAATTGATTGATCAAAAAAATAATCACCGAATTGTGAAGGCCCCGGCGAGATTCGAACTCACGATCTCCTGTTTACTAGACAGGCGCTTTAACCAACTAAGCCACGGCGCCCATATATCTTTCGTTTTTCAAGGAACTTTATAAGTTTTCATATCTTGGAAACTAGAACATTTCAAATGATTTTCACTTTAAATAATTAAATTTTACGAATAGATTTTTTCAAGCGAAAATGAAGTGGGTAATGATAACAGAGAAATCAGAGGAAGTAGATAACTAAAACTTAAAACATTAAAAAAACCCACCTGGAAACGTTGATAAAGCCACAAACTGTGTCAAGTATTATATATGGTCCAAGATAGTCTAAAAATATCCATG